CCTCAGGAATGGGGGCAGCCAAGGCCCCCTTGAAGGTCCTGAGGTTTCTGAGGGGTCTTGATAGGAGAGCCCCCAGCCTGTGTAGGAAATATGCAGGAATGTGGCACAGCGCCCACTAGAGGTGGGGTGGTACACATGCACAGTTTCACACTTGCTCGCTGTCCAGTAGATCCAGGCTCTCCCCCTTACTGGAAAGCATATGGTTAGACTCTAAGTGCAGGTTGATCTCATCTACTGACAGAACTTCAGGATGGGAGGAGACTGTCCAGGACCCACCCCTGCCACCATCCTGCAGTCAGGGAAGGGGATCCTTGAATTCTGAGGCCCTGCAGCCCATAGCCCCTAACCTGTGGGCGGCAGGAGCTGAGCCTTCTTCATCCATCTCTCCCAGCAGATGGTGGTGGCCCTGACTGTCAGACAGACATGTTCTGCCTAGTCTGGGAGCCCACAGCCCCTTCCCTCCCTGGGTCTACCAACATCTAGCCCCAGCAACTGTGCCCCTCCAGGACTGATTTCCCTGGCCACTTTCTAAAGCATTCTGGATCTGGCTGTGGGGCAAACAGGACTCAGGGAGGGGCCAGCTGGCAGCATCCCTGCCGACCCACGGCTCTCCTATCAACTGGGGACAATCATCTCACAGTGAACCCTCTCACCAGCCATTAGAATTTTAAAATAACAATTTATCATGGATCCCATAGATCAGAGTTCAGGGGAGAATGCTACAGGCTTGATTGAGAATCAATGTGGTGGCCCATGCCTATAATCCCAGCACTCAGGAGGCTGAGGCAGAAAGATCACCAGGAGTTCAAGACCAGCCTGGGCTATACAGTGAGTTCAAGGCCAGCCTGGGACACATAGGAAGACCCTATCTTTAAAAAAAAAATCCGTGGTTACATAAAAGGGACATCTTTGGTACAGGGCTGGGATGCTGCCCCCATTGGGGCACTAACCCCTGCAGAGGGGCAGGCTCCCCTTCTTAGACCCCTGGGGCACCCCTGTCCACTTCAGAGACCAGGAGACCTAGGAAGGTTGCCGCAGCTGCTCCAGATGTGTGGAGTGTCTTGTCCTCCCACCTCTTACATTCATTCATTCTTTGGGTGACTCGCGCCATTGCTCTCCAGGCCAGCTATGAGGCTCCAATGGGCAGAATTCAGCTTCCTATGGCCCACTGAAGTGCACAGGAAGAGAGAGTTTGGAGAGACACAGGCAAGACCAAGAATATCAGTCTGTAGGCAGAGAAGCTGAGGTGTAGGGATACTTGATCTCAGATTTGGGAGCACTTGTCCCTTGAAAGGACCCTTGCTCTCAAGACAGATTGGGATAATGAGGCAAGGGGGCCCATGGAAGAGGGGAAGCACATGAGCAGGCCCACACTTACAGCCCCAGGGTGCCCTAAAGTGTGAGGGAAACTGGCTTGCCTCTCACCCTTACTTCCAAAGCCTGGTGCACAATCTTCCACCAAGATGGAGATGGGAAAAGGCCCCGTTGTCATAGAAACAGGCTGTGTTCCCAGAGTGTGCCATGGCCATCTTTGTTCCTTGCTGCCCAGGGATCAGGGTAGTGGGTCAGGCACCCCCTCCTGGATTTGTTCATGGGACACACAGGGTCAATTCTAGCTTGCAGCCCTCCCCTGCCAGCGCTGTCACACAGGAATCAGTCCTCACGTCCTGTACCTCCCTGACCCCATCTCCTATGCCCCCTCATGTGCCACATAGCCAGCAGCTCCCACCAAGCCAGTCATGGTCAGTCATGACCTGTGTCATACCTGAGCCACTGTGAGCCACTGTGAGCCCCAGGAGCTGGAGGAGGCAGGAAGGACCTTTCCCCAGAGCCCTTGGGGAGAATGGTTCTACATAGCCCTTCAGACCCTGTGTTAGCAGTAAACTATTGTCCTAAAGCTTATGGGACTTGGTGAGGACAGCTCTAAGAACCCACAAACCTTGAAAATTAAGGTGTACAGATAGCACTGTGTAGAATGTACATCTTCCTCAGTTCCAGCTGCTTCTGTTGATCTGCACAAACAGAGGAAGCTGTTATCTAGGGTGACCTCCTGGCCACTTCTACCTGGGGAATTGTCTCACACAGCCCTGTACCCCCAGGACCTTAGGGCCAGCAGGCAGTTTTCCTTTGACCTGTGACTTCAAGCTGGTGGAGCTGACTGGCCCAGGGGGCTCTCAATGGCCAGGGCTCCACAGGCCAGGCTGGGATGGCAGCTCTTCAAGCCTGGTGTGACCCCAATGCCTACTCTCTGCCAGCCAGTGGTGGCCCCTCTAGGACTGTGGGAGTAGTTGGCATGATTCCTGGAGGAGGGATGTAGGGTGGATTGCTGTCACCAGCAGTCCTTGAAGGGTTCTGTGCTTGGTTAGGCCCAGGCTGTGCCATACCTCTGGGGCTACCTGAGGTAGGAGACAGAGGTGGGGGCAGGCCTGAGGCAGGTGGGGGCTGTGGGAGGGCCGAAGGTCTGTGGAAGCTGGCCCCTCCAGCTGGGGTCTGTGGTGAGTCCTGCAGATGGAGAGTAAGAGAGAGATAGACTTGGGCTGGGGATTTAGCTCAGTGGTTTCGCTGCCTGCTGCGCAAGGGCAAGGACCAAAGTTTGATCCCCAGTACCAAAAAAAAAAAAAAGAGAGAGAGATAGACTTGGGGAGGGGGGGGCTGCAGTGTGAGTTCAGAATGGCCAGGAAAGGGGCCAATTGAGCCTGGCCGTTTGTGGGTGTGGGAATACAGAGCCCAGAGTGCTCATTCCCTGTAGGTATGAAGCAAGCAAGTTAAGGCTGTGCCTGACCCCTGGCCGAGCAGCTCCTCAGGGCACTCTCCTCACTCTTGTTCAGAAAAGCAGAATTTACAATAATGCAGAGTGCATTAGCGCCACAGGGAGGATCTGATCCAGGCTCACTGGCATGGCAGTGTCTTTACAGGCTCTTTGTGCCGGTTTCAGGGCTGCAGGTCGATGCCCAGGCTAATATCTATTTAGAGCCTGCCCAGGGGGCCTTGAGGGGAAGGAACTGCTAATGGGGAGGTGGGGAGCCTTCCCTCCTCTGCCCACCATGGAGGCTCCACTCAGCTGTGCTGGCCTTGCCTGAGTGGCAGGAGACCATGCTTGCCCTGGTTTGCTGCTCTCAGAGGCCAAATCTGCATTTCACCCCTATGTGTAGCCAGGGCCCCAACTTCTAGGAGTCTCCCTGCCCTCCTGAGGGTGCCAAGGACACAGGCAGGCAGAAGGTATTGTCCTGGATGGGCTAGGGGTCAGGGACCATCCAATATCACTTTGATTTCCATGCCCGGAGAGTGGCACACACTAGGACTCCCTGTGGTTTCATAGCATGACTGGAATCTGGGCACAGGCAGGTGAAGAATCGAGCAGAGGCCATGCTCTCATGGACACAGGAAAGCCTATTTTCCCCTTTGCAGTTGCTCCAGTCCCACAGGTAGGGCGACCCTAGGTCACAGAGGTGCCAGCTGAACAGCCAGGCCTTGGGGACCTGGCCCCTTCTGGACTATTCTACATGGGCCTGGGGGCAAGGCTTGCAGGGGCACATGCTCTGGCCCTGGCCCTGAGCCCCCTATCCCTTCAGGCCATCTCACCTTCAGTTCCACCTGCAGACCTTGGGCACTCTAGAACATATCCCTCCACACTTTTGCAAACTTCAGCACCTCTCTCAGGAGGAATCATCTGCTCCTTCTGGCTTGTGCAGTGTGAGCCACTGTGACAGCCATGGGCAATGCCACATGCAGCCGTGTGTAGCCATGCGCCACTGTGTGCAGCTGTGGACACGGCTTCCTTCTTCTCAGCCTTAGGAACAATCTGACCTAATACAGAAAAAAAAATACTATGTCCTACACTTTTATGACCAAGGAACATATGAAAAAGGAAAATTTGCCTCATCACTGATACGTTGGTCTTTCCCTGGGTCCCCCACAGCCCAGCTCCCAGGATGTGTTTTGTCCCCACCCTGCACTATGACCTGCTGTGGCCTGGTCTGAGGTGCTGGAGAGTGGAGATCCTTGTGAGATGTTGGCCTTGAGCCCAGACTGACAGTCATCTGAGCCCACTCTTGGGGGCACAGGGTCTTTCTTGCTGGCTTTTCCCACTGTCCCTCTTTTCTAAAACATTTTGGAGCACTGTGGATGAAAGCCTGACTCTCTCAGGTGCTAGTCAAGGCTCTACCTCTGGACTGTATCCCCTGCCCACTTCACTTTTTATTTTAAGATAGGGTCTCACTAAGTTGCCCAGACTTGGCACGGACTTGTGATTCTCCTGCCTCAGCTTCCTGAGTTGTGGGGACTACATGTGTGTGCCACTGTGCCCAGCTTCCCTCTGGCTAGTGGTAATGAGATCCCTGGTGGACAGGCATCCTCAGCACAAGGTGCAGGCTTGGGCTTGTGGGGGACAGAGTGCTGAGTGTACCTGAACCACCCCTGGGCAGGGGAGGGGAAGGAAGGAGGCAGGAGAGGGTCTCCTGGGTGGGAAGTCATCAGATATCATCAGGGAGGGCATCCAGAGGGCCCCCCCGAGTGGGAGCAGGGAGGCGGTGAGGAGCATGAACGTGGTGGTGGGGGGAGTGGGCCAAGTTGGTAGGGAGGGGGGAAGAGTGCAGAGGGCCTCAGTGACCTCATGCTTCTCCTCCCAGCACTTAGCATCTATTTGCTCCTGGTGGAGACATGAACTCTGATTGCCCCCAGTTCCATCAGCTAAGTGGCTCCAGGCTGCAGCCACTGCTCCCAAGAGGACCTTTGGGGGCCTGATGTGCACATCCAGTTAACTTTCTCCACGTCTATTTTCAGGGGCTCTTTGGACTAAGTGCTGGGTGGAGCACAGACCATTCAAGCTATTTTCATCCTCAGGTGGCGCCCCGTAAGGACTGTGCTGGGCTCCTGGCTCACTGTCCAGATACTCACTTCAGATGTCCTTGGGATGCCCTTAGCAGGGTGCAAGCCTTCAGGGCAGCTCTATGTCCGTCCCAGTGGGGCAGGTTGGGAGGGTGCAGGCAGAACAGGTGGAAGGGAGATTCAGCCTCCCAGATCTCCGTGGCCGCCCTCCAAATGACCCTGCGGCCTTATCTCGCACCAGCACACCCCTAATCGGCTCTGCTGCAGCAGAGCAGTCTGCAGAAGATGTTGATGGAGCCTCATAATATCACAAGCTGCTGAGCTCCTGATGCTACCCCCCCTGCCACACCTCTGCTGGGACAGCCCAAGGACATAGGGCCACTGACCTGGCTAGAGGAACCAGAGAAAATGGTCACTGGGTGCCAGCCAGAAGGGTGGGGCAGACCCTGTGCAACCTAGGGTGCCCCCCATTCTGTGTGGAGGAGTGCGGCCCCCATTGAAATCCCCTTAGCCTTTCATCTCCTGGATCCCCTGGTGTGCAGCTCAGGATAGGTCCCTGGCTTTTAGCAATGCTACAGCCAGAGGTCAGGCCCCAGGACTCCTCTCACCTTGGACAAGCTGTGTTTCTGGAAGATCCTTCCTCTGAGCTGGCCTTCCTGGGCATGAAAGGGACATGGGTGTTCAGGTGGGATCTGAGACCTGGAGTGTGTCCCACTGAAGCAAGCAGGTCAGGGCAGTGAGGATGCTAGCAGATCTGCCCAAAGCCCCAAGACCGAGGTGAGTTGGGTTCAATTTGCAACTTGCCCAGTGTCTAGCACATTCACTGTGGCTGTGCCAGGCCTGCCATGATGGGGCTGGAATGGGGGAGTTAATGTCTAATTGGGGGCTTTCCTCCTGGGGCCAGGTCAGACCCTCAGTCCAGCTGATTCCCCTCAGGTCTGCTGGATCCAGCCCACTGATAATTCAGTGAAGAGACACAAGCCCACCAGAGCCTGCCTGGGGAGCCTGATGAGGACACAGTGAGACCAGACTCCATGAGCCCTTTGTGACAGAGAGGCGCTGGCCAGAGACAAAGGGGTAGGCCACAGTGTCTTTTTCTCTCATTGTGAGACCTGCCTTGGACCATGCAGGTGACCCTCCAGGGACTCAAATCCTGACCAGAATCGTAGGCTCTGAACACAAACCCTTGTTATATCTGTCCCACACCCCAGGGGACAGGGAGCTCTGGGGATGCTGAACCTCATCCTACAATCTCAGCAAATGGACAGGTCCCCACCACGTTGGAGTGGCCCTCTCACCTAACCCTACCCTGACTAAGCCCTTCCCCTCTTCCCTTCATGGAGACTTCTCTCCACCCAGGCCCTTAAAGCTCTTCCTGCCAAGACTAGGCAGCCCCAGCCCAGGACATACAGTTCCATGTGCCTTTGGGGCCACTGTGGAGTCAGCTATATGCCCTCAGGCATCGAGAGCAGCAGAGCTGTGTCCATGCCCTGCCCATAGGTGTCTTCCCATGAGCCTCTGCTCCCCTGGCACCTCCTCTAGGCAGCCCACCCTGAGCCTCTAGAAGACTGAAACCAATACCCTGGTGACATCAGCAGAGCAGGTGCTGCTGAGTTGGCTGCCAGGGGCATCAGAGCTGGCATCCTGCCTTCAGGCCTAGAGCCGGGGCTACACGGCCAGGACCCCAGACTGGGGTTTAAAATAGCCTGACCCTCCTACTGCCCTAAAGCTGGCCTGTTCTCCTGTGTCCTCCCATCCTGTTGATCCACCCAATGCAGGACATTGTCCTTGGGTGCAGCCAGACATTCTGCAGATGCTTCAGGTCTTTTCTCTAGCTGAGTCCTTCCTGTTCCCCCTGTGGCTTCTGCTACCTGGGGCTTGAGCTCCATGGGTATCAGCACTTACAGTGGGGGGCCAGCCAGCACTGGGGCTGAGGGATGCCATTGGTCACTCCCTCTCACAGAAGCAGATCATGTCCCAGCCAGCTCCTTGAGGAGGACCCTGGGAGGAGAGCAGGCAGCCAAGGGAACACTCCATACAGACCCCAGGCCCAGTATTCCCACACAGGGCTCAGGGACTGTCCCCTCCAGTGGCTGCACATGGGACCTGACTTCAGGGCTCTTGCTAAGCTGAAGAAGGCTGACTGCGTCATCCTGGGCTACCCTGACCCTGAGGCCAGCAGAGGCCATTTGAGGAGCTGTCACCTCAGCCCTGATCTATCCTCTCTGCATTGGCAGCTGGCAAGTGGCTCCATCCCCAGTGTTGTACTTGGAAAGCAGCTAGAGCTCTGGGCCCTGTGCAGGATCCCTGCAATCCCTGTCCAGGCCATGGAGGAGGGTTGGGGGTCAAGCTGCGGCCCTGCCAGTGACACAAGACACCATTAGTTCCCCTATCCTTGCCCACCCCTCCCCTTGATGCCCCCCCCCAAACTGCTCCTCCGGCCCCTGGGAAGGCTGTGGTGGGGACACAGAACTGAGTGGCTTCTCTGGGTAGGCCAATGGTCACTGAGCCCTGCATACTACAGCCTCCTACGCTGACCTCTCTGTCCCTGCCCCCAGGGCCTGTGACTGAGGTGCCGCAGGGCTGTCGAGGCCCCTTCACCAGCAGATCCTGGGGCCCTCACCTTGAGGCTTGAGTCTGGCAGGGTCTGGACCAGGTACCCTCTGCCCATCTGAATAGCTTAGGGCCTATTCACCCCTCCCTGCCCCAGCTCAGCCAGACACAAAATCTGTGCTAAATCCTCTATTTAATTTTCTTCTCTGGGAAGCTGTGGGAAGTTCTAGAGATAAAGCTGAGCTGATAAAGTGGGGATTTGACCATTCTCGCAGGCAGTAGGCCTACAGTGGATGCTGTGTCAGTGGGCTCAGCCACTTGCACAAGGGCACTGGATGAGGGCAGATGAGGCCAGGCCAAGGACACCAAGCCCTGTGGGAAGGTTGAGGACCTGCCACAGGCCCCTGCTGGGTGGGTAGCAGGCGCCCCTGGGGCCAGCCAGGGATGCTGCTGCTTCCAGGAATTCCCACCAGCCTGGGTGGCCCCATGGGCATGTCTTTGATAGAGACCATGTTGGTCCTTCCCTTTGCCACCTCTTTCCTGGGACCGCCAGGGCCTTTCCTTGCTGCCCAGCCTCTGTGCAGCTTCCCTGGGCCAATTCCAGGCCTGGCCCTTGCATGCTCAGTGCCCTATCTGTCATTGGTTCTCAGGCATCATGTGTGACTATGTCCTTCTGTCCTGTCTGGGATCCTCTACCATATCCTGACAAGTGGCTGCCTGGACTTTTCCACAGATGAGGGGCTCACTCCCTACAGGAAGCTGAGCCCTGCGCCCTTCAGGCTATAATCAGATATCAGGTGGCTTTCTGCCTACTTCTTAGCACAAATCTGTCTTCTGGACTTGTCTCTATGTATCTTGAATCTGTCTTCCTTAGAAATTGTTCTTTCTCGGGACAGGGATCAAACTCAGGACCTTGGGCTTGCCAGACAGGTGCAGCGCCACTGAGCTTTATCCCTGACCCTCAAATCTGTCTCGGATCCCAACCCTCTGTGTCTGCAGAGTGGGCTCTTCACTGTAGCCCCAGTCATCCTCCTGCTGGGTGCTTGGCCTCTTTATGCTTTTTTCTAGTGATAAACTTTGCTGTGATAAAATGGCTGTTTCCTTTTCTTTTCTTTTTTTCCATTAGTTTATTGGTGCATTTTAGGTATACAATACAGTTACATTCCTCATTGGGATCTTGCACCTTTACATGATGCATCTTGGTTCTTATTTTTTCCCCATTCCCCTGCCCTCCCTTCACCCCCTCCACCCTTCCCTATTTACAAAGACTTTG